CAATCCACCTGCCCCCACCCCTCCTCCAGCACAGGCTGGGCAAACCCGAGCCCAGAGCTCCATCCCCTTCCTTTCACCCCCTCCCATCATGCAAATGGCACCAGGGGAAGGGGTGGGCTGCATCAGCCCAGCCTCGATCAGACCAAAGTTAATGAAGGTGCTCCACTCTGGAGTGCCTTCATCTGAACCCTCATGCAATGAGGGTTAATTTTTCATACAATTGGGCACTTTTAAAGTGCTCTTCAGCTATGCACTTCTGTCAGGGCACACCTATAGAGCACTTTCAAGGGACCGATCGCGTGAAAAATGTCACTTCCATCAGTGCCTAAAGTGTTTCCAGTACTGTGGGGTTCTCTTCCCTCTCCGAGAATGACAGCACGTGGATATACCCCACTGGCTTTCAGCAACTGAAATGGGACACCAAACAAAACAGCCCCTCATATGGGGACCAAAGCTGAGGCTGGAAAAAACTCTTTTTCAAATAAGAACATCAGCAGTGCTATGCAGGGTCAGACCAATGGTCCAGCTAGCCTAGTATCCTTTCTCTGACAGTGGCATGAGTAGAAGTTTTAGAGACAGAGCATTGAACTAGGTATTATCTAGACCAGGGGCAGGCAACTATTTCAGGCAGAGGGCCGCTTACCAAGTTTTGGCAAGCTATTGAGAGCCAAGTGGGTAGCCCCACCCCTTTACAGGTGCCCCACCTCCTGGTTGCCAGCTTGTGACCAGAAGTCCTGCACCCTAACCCCTGACCTTTGCCACCAGAACTCCCTCCCCTTGCCCTCAGAAATACTCCTTTCAGCAAGGAGTCTTGCCATCTCAGACCCAGAAAAATACCAAATTACATTCTAAAAATCAAACATCTATAACATTCATTCATTTGATTTCAAAAAATATTTTTCTCCTTATCTACATGTGTTTGTGTAGTGTACGCAGAGGGGATAGTATAATAGCTTAAAATGAAGTCTTACTCTTTTATATTATGGGGGAGTGGGGGGAATGGGGGGTGAATATAGGTTTGTGGGGGGCTGTGAGGGTGTGGGTATGTGGGGAGGGGGGGGG